CCCCCCCCCCCCCCCCCCCCCCCCCCCGCCATGCTTATACACAAAGCTTATAACATTGACCACATGGAGGGTTATGAGGGGTTTGGCACAATTAAGTTGGAAGCTTTGAAAATATTTTGGAAAGGCCACTTCTTATCCAGTGGCTAAGACCACCTCCTACATCGTCACTGTAATGTTGATAATGAAAGAGAAATTCCAAATAACGAAACACCTGCAAGGCGGTCATCATTTGGGGGGAAAAAAAATAATACAAAACCCACCACAACCCCAAACCCCCCACAATACACATGGTGGCAACCATTGTCTGTGTACATTAACTTCAGTGATGATCTTTTGAATACATCTTTCCACACTGTAAGCATTTTACAAAAACTTAACTTCTACATCCCTGCAAGAAAGGATGTCTGGAGGCAGAACTGTGATGCAGAAACCTGTGCAGGAACACACACCATGATGTCACAACAAGTAGGCAACAAGCAGACAGATGGATATGGCAAAGACCATAGCTATTTGATAATGACATATGATTACAAACACATTATTGCAGCTCTTTCTAGAAATGTTCATTCTTACGAAATAACTTGTCAGACAATTTCTGAAAGGGCACGTATTCAGTTTTGCACCTAACAACCTAATACTAGCAATTCAGTTTTGTTCCAGTTCCATTTCTCTTTCATCTGTCTTTATCCTCAATAAAAGGCAGCAATATTAAATAAAAAAGAGAGAGTTCATCTCTATTACAATGAACTTTCAAGACTTGATACTAGAACAGGTGTGATGAGGAGAGAAAAAACACTACACAAGGTACATAATACCTAAGTCACATGTTTTTATCATTTTAATTACTAGCTGGAACATAGTGTTGATCAGCATTTCTAATTTCACGTCCCTGTTACTCTCATACATGCGTTTGTTTCCATTCTTCTCCGCTTTCAAATGAGGACAGAAATAAGTTGTTTTATCTTACCTGCCAGATTTGAACAAGCCTTAACACCAATAGACCCCAAAGCACAATTACATTGTATGGTAAAACCAGCATTTTTTTTTCCTTTGAATAACCTGGAGGGCCCAAAGATGAATGGCTAGTTCTATAACTACCTCCAAGACACCCAACCTTATCAAGTCCTTCATTGAGATTCAACCTACCACAGACAGGAAAAGAGAAGTTTGGCAGCACAGATCATCAGAAGAAAACACGTCTCATGAAGACTGATAGTTTTACAGAATAAACACAATTTATTTCTTCTATCAGTACAAGCCAGCATAGCCTGCTCTGGTGTGCAGCCAGAGAAAGTGACTCCTGAACTTTAAGTAAGGGCGTATGCAGAGGGAGACGTGTAAGTGATTCGGTGCAGTGATTCAGTGACAAAAAGTACACAATCTCTTGCAGTTATGTGTTTTTAATCCTACATCAATAGCTAGATGCAAATGAAGATAGAGAAGGATATGAACTACCAAGATCAATACATTGACATAGGGGTTCTGGAAGAATTTTTCTGTGAAAGAGCAGCGATATTGGTGTGAACTGCACAGACTAAATTACCTGTGCATCTCTGGAGGCAGAGTTTGATTAAACTTGGAAGTATCTTTGTATCTGACTTTCTAAGTCTGCAATGCTCTGCCTTAACACCAATTTTGAGGATCTTGAATACTATTTTCTATACTTGTGGTTTAGCTTTGCTGCATTTTTTTCTTTAAGTGTGGCAAGTCCTGCAGATACAAAGCTGTATTCTAGACTTCTTTCACCATCAGACCAGCAACAGTCAACATGGTTCTCTTGCTCTGTCCCATGCACTCAAGAATGCCTAATACCTTCCACTGCAAAATACCAAATCACACGGACAATCCTTCACGCTTTGGTGTGGAGAGATGCTGCTTTTGATCTGCCTGTCTTATTTCACTGTAAGACTCCACTGAAATTAATTACTGACATTAACAAAATACAACAGAGCAAATAAGAGAACCACTGAGTTTTACATTCTTAAAATTGTTCCTCTTACCCCTGGCCACCAAATTACCTGACAATCTTTAAAAAAAAACAAACTGGAAAGGTTTCAAGTTATCAGATCTCATGCTTTTTATCCATAAACCTCTACTGTATATGAACAAGTCTGCCCTTAAGAACAAAACTGATACACTGTCCGCTACTCTGCTATACTTAGGATTCTTTTATTTGCTACCAGGGTTTTTTTAAGTTCTGTTACCTCACAGTCACAGAGTCAGAAGGGTCACTTCTGCCTCATTCCTCATGACGCACATGTATAATGGCACAAAGAAGAAATAATTATAACAAAGAAAAATAAAGGGATGTAATTACAGGACACTGTTCCTTATTCACATACTCTATCTGAAATGCTGCTTTGGTTTGTTCTAGCTACTTGTCTAACCTTTTAAACAATATGTATACTTGTGTTCTGCAAACTACAATACGAACAAATAGAGCAATTTCAACTGCTCCGTCATTATCAATCAAAAATTATTTCAGGAAATATGCAGAAGCTGTGACTCAGCTTGGACATCGATGGCTGTTCCATTTCTTAGTCACTGAATGAGGCTAAACATGACTCATCTCAGCTGACACATTTTCAATTGGATCATTGATATTCCAGACCTTCAAAAGAATTATTCATCTGGCTTAGTGCTAATAACAACATATCCTCCATCTCCTCCATTTATAGTACCATACTACAAAATGTATACATATGATTTAACTGGTATATACAGATGATTCAACTAGTTTCATCCCCCAGAATGCACAAACAACATAGAACTTGCACTTTTTACTGATATATACTATTTACCACGCATGCACGCATTCTTCTTAAAATAAAGATTGTTTTTCTCCATCAACTTCTGGAGAACGATGGTCATCATCTATAATAACGGTCAACTGCAAAACTGATTCAACTAAAAACATTATTTGTCATCAATGTCTTGCCAGAGCAGTCCATCTTTGCCTGTTCAGCACTGCATGCATTAACACGTGCACACTACACTGGGCAAAGCCAACAGGCATTTTTCTCACTCAGTCTCCCACACTAGACCGCAAGTCCATCATCCTCCTGATCAATCTTCTGTATTTACAGACTCGGGTCAAGAAGATCAGTAAATTGATTTTGCCTTGTTTGGAAGCACACTTTGGTGACCTGATCACATTTCAGCCCTATGGCCGTTTCCAGCCAGGACTGACAAGCAGACACTATACAGCCTACAGGCTCCTCTGGCATGAGGGGAAACTTCCAAAGCACACATGGAATTGTGCAATCTGGCAGGAACTATGAAGCAGTTGAGCGGGTCTACTGATGTCAAACAGCAAGCATGCCACTTGCACAGCTCACTAGTGATAATGCAACTCTGTAAAGCAACCGTAGCTCTAGCAGAGCTGAGTATTTCTATTTTACAGCCAGGTAAACTCGCTGTTTGTGATACGCACATATCTACTGCTTTGATGAAAGTGGACCTCATACAGGTACTGGAGAGTGCTGTAAACCCCTCGGGCATTTAAAGGAGTATGTCCACGTGCTCAGAACATTTTAAGTTTTGCATGTTAACTTTTGTTAACTCAATGGCTGAAAAAAAAAAATCACTCAGAAAGCAACACAGCCTATTCTGAAATGGAATTACAGCCTTGCTTGATGGCAAAA